AGGCTTTGTACGCCGGAGACCGCAGCAATTACAATTTTAAAAAATCGTTATTTAAAAGTTTTTGAATTTGTATTGAAAAAAATTTGGTTATAAAATAAATATTAGCTGTAATTCTTGTTTATAAAAATATGTTTTGTAGTTGATCTTCTCATACCTGAAATGTCTATCCAACATTATTAATTAGCAATTTAGCAAGTCCCTGTGTGAAATATTATAAGTTTCATGAATGTGAAACGGTTATAATCTACTTCGTGTTTGGACGGACGGCACCTTCAATTTCGTGAGTGTGAAATGTCGGGAAACTAAACTTGACACGCGCTCATCTCTACTGCGAACAATCGAAACATTTCGATAATTCACAAACAGCTGTCGCGTTGTTGTATAATTTTGATGTGAGGAAATGGCATGCGCCAGAAAATTGCCTTTACGCGTTTTCCTGAATAACTCCTTGACGGTAAACCGTACCATCACCATGTCCGCCGCCCGCCGCGCCGAGGAGGCCGTCGAGAAGCTGAAGGAGAGCAATCCCTACTACTCCAAGTACGCGGGCAAGATTGCCAAGTTGCAGCAGACGTCGGCTGAGGAGTTCCTGGATCGCGTGGAGCGCGTGGTGAATCCCATCAAGGATGGCCAGAGCCAGGCCAGGTGAGATCAGAGTACGCAGAAAGTGCACCTTCAGGCTAAACCCAACCCATTCCAGGTCCTACTCCGAGCTTCTCAATCCCAAGCAGAAGCTGCAGGCTGAGCAGGCGGCTGAACTGCCGCACAAGAAGCTCACCGACATCATGAAGCTGGAACTGGTTGCTGACAAGAGCGCCGAGGAGGTAGCGCAGATATGGCTAGAGTACCACAAGACCAAGGAGGTTCTGGCCGCCACTCTGACCACTACTCAGTATGAGAACCTCATGAAGCGGGCCAAGGAACATCCAGTTTTCTTGCTACCGCTGCCCCGCAGCGAGGGCTTTGAGTTCGTCATGCTGCAGTTTGCCGCCAATACCGTGCACTTCACTCCGCTCCTGGCCTACCAGGTGCACCACGAGAACGCCCCCGAGTGCCTCACCCTGGTCCACTATACCGAGGTGCAGGACAAGGGAGTGGTCCTGATGCGTGGTGAATACGACACCAAAGTGCTCACCGCCCAGGAGGCTCAGTGCCTGGCCAACGAGCTGCAGATGTTCTACCTTAAGCCCGACGAGGGCAAACTGAGCCTGCTGAACACCTTTACACGCAAACCGGACGAATTCAAGCACATGGATCTGATCAAGGAAGTGGAGAACATACAGCTGGCCTAAGCCCTGTGATTTTAGTCAAAATAAACGAAGCAAACACGACACCGGCACATCAAATACGAAATATTGGTAATTTTTCAAATTTTATGTCTTTATAAACACAGGACATGGAGAACTTTGATTTGGTCATGGAGCAGATTGGTAAATGCCCCAAAGTCCACACTCGATTTGCATGCACAAGCACAGCACACCGTCCACAGGTTTCGGGAGGGTTCATCTGTTTGCCACTCTGACGCTCGGTCTGCTGCAGATGCTCACCATCCAAGAAACCATGGGCATGGGAACCATTGGTCCTGCCGCCGTATGTGATCTGCACATGAATCAGGCGCAACTAGCCGCGCTTACGGCGGCCGGTTTTATGGGCATCATATGCTCCTCCTACTTCTGGGGCTACATTACCGACAAGAAAGGTCGGCGTTGGACCCTGTTGCGCACCATTATTGTAAGCAATTTGTGTTCAATCGCTTCCATGTTCTGCATCAGCTCCACGGGCTTCTTTGTGATGCGCTTCGTCACATGTATTTTGTGAGTATCATGGGTTAATTAAACGAGATGAGACATTTATCCTCCGATCAGTGTGGCCGGTCCAAGTTTCGTGGCAGCCACCTACCTAAGTGAATTCTGCTCGCAACGGATTCTAGTGCGTACCATTACTCACATGTACATGTTCAGCGGCTTCGCCATGATCTCATGCCCAGCTTGGGCCACGCTTTTCCTGAGCCCAGATTTCATTGATTTTGAGGTGGAGTTGGTGGGCGACCTGACGCTGAGACCATGGCGTGTATTGGGCTGCATATACATTCTGCCGGGCGTGGTGGCCTTTTTCCTGCTGCTCCACTTGCCCGAAAGTCCCAAGTTCTTGATGATGATTGGCGATACACAGAAAGGATTGGCCACCATGGAATGGATATCCAAGAAGAATACTGGGCACGGTCTTACCGACGACCAGATACAACACATGCTCGCCTACGAAGATCATGTCCGAATGAGGCGGCGGAAGAGCAAACAGAACGTCTTGAGGTCCATGCTCGACGATGCGATGCCCCTGTTTCGAAAACCCTATCTCGGCTACTTTCTCTGCGTCTGCTTTGTCATGTTCGTCCTGGGTCTATTGTAAGTGTGCTGGCTGTCCTAAGGATCTCCCACTTATTTGTCCACGAATCCACAGGACCAATGGCCTGGGCATTTGGTTTACAGCCATGAGAAATCGTTGCAATATGCGGCAGGGCAACACACAGGGCATGACCTTCTGCAGGGTACTATTTGTGCCTGAGACAGGTCCAATTATGGAAACTGAGGTTGACTTCGAGGCGGTAAGCTGAGGAGTCTAAAGAATATATCACTTACTAAGCTCTTGAATTTTTTAGGTCTGCGACGACTCCTTCAAGGGCTTCAATAATTCCTTTGTACTGGGAGCTGTTTATGTTGCTCTGTACAACCTGTGCTGGCTTTCGCTCTTCTGCGTGCACAAGAAGGTAATGTTCGTCTTCTCCCTGGTGTCCGCCTCCACATTTGGCTTTCTGCTTATCGTTGTCACTGATCCCATGATGCAACTCTTTTCGCTGGTGTTCGTGCTCGCCTTTCCTGGCGTTACAATTGGTCTGCTGGGTGGTGCCCTCTTGCGCTTTGTGCCCACCTACATTCGCGCCAAGGCTCTGTGCATCAGCCTGATGTGGTGTCGATGTGGAGCGGCCGTTGGGGCAATCTTGGTCGGCTCCAATATCCAGGATCATTGCGAGCTGTTCCTGCTGGCGATCGCAATTCTGCCTCTGAGTAAGAAACAATTACAATGATTGCTGATCTTATCTAACCATTTCTTATTAATCTTTTCACAGTTGCCGCATGTATGGAGGGGTACTTGCCATTGTGAATTCGGTGTTTTTATTTTTGTAATATAAATCCTCATACTTAAAAACTCTGTATTCGTCTTAAATCTTTTCGATAGATTACGAATTCCTTCAATTCTATACGGATTCTGTCTTTCAAGTATATTTCAGGCCCAAAAGTAGGCAAGAAAAGTCATTCTTAGCTTTCATAAATCCAACAACAATATTTGGACTTGGCACGAGTTTCAAGTTAAGAAAGATCCCCGAATAATGTGACATTTGGACTAACATAAACTTTTTTTTATCTCCTTACAGCGTACACCGTTTGGATTGTTATTTTTAGAATTCAAAGTCGAAATTTCTTAGAAGCACTGGTGAATTAGATAAGAATCTTAATTCACTTTTCCGAACAACAATGTTTAATTAAAAACCACCATTTGATCTTGCACTCTTTATTTTAATTTAAGCATCACGAAGACAACTTTTTGGATAATTCGTTTATTCAACAAACATCAAGACTAGAGTAAATACTTAATTTTGTAGCTGCAACTACTATTTTTCTCCCAACTCGTTAAACTATTGCCCCGAAAAACAATCTAAACCAAAGGCGTATGCTAATAAATATAATCATGAGTTAGTGACGTTGCCAAGGTTGTCTAGAGTAGGATTAGAACACCTCCTCCTCATCCAAAGCGCGGACCTGCAGGATAAATCTATATTTTTCCGTCGTAAGTGAATTCTTCTCTGGTTACCAATTCTCCTCCATTGCTAGCACTTTTTCCCAGGTTAATGTTGTCCATCTCGCGATTCCTCAGGATTTCCATTAGGGCTCCCCGTTTTCCGAAGCGAACTCGGGCTCGGTCTCCGTAGTAGGTGTCCAGATCCTGCAGGAACTTATAGGCATCGGCCATGGTGTTGACATCGTTCTTGCGCGGAGGTCTGGAGTTTGAGGCCTCCACACTGCAGCCGGCGGCAAGAAGAGCGAGTGCCACACAGACAATCAGGATGCAACGCATTGTTTGACACATGGTTCTGCAAAATTATCAGGTATAATTTTTAATGTAACTTAATATTATATAATATCTATCATAATTTCAATATTTGGCTTTTACTCAAGATCACTTTTTCACTTTTGATAAATACAAAACTAAAACTTTAGCAAATATCTAACTACTTGGTGATGTTAGGGAAGGTCGTCAAAAATTAGCAACCGCTAATGATAATGAACATTTTATCATTCGTTATTTCTTGCGTAGCTTTTTAAAAATAATGATTTTTTAAGGAATTCATAAAAAATAATAGTTTAGTAGAAAACGTTAATATTACAATGTATACAATTGGTTTTTTCCATTCATAATAATCGTTTACCGGGTAGAAATAACCTTAGAATTAACAACCGATATTAAGTAAATTAGATCTCATCGCTTGGGGACCTATTTAGGGGTCTGGATCTTTTGAGGGCCTTAGTTAATAGCTGGTAATCTAGTATGTTAATTAGTTAAAACTCGGTAAAGTGATCACACAAGCGAACTGCCATCATTTATGGTAGCCAATGATTTTTGGGCGGGACTGACGCAAGTTGCTAATACTTCAGCCCAGCTAAAAAGCAAATAAAGCCGATAATTACGAGTATTATACGGCACTTAGCTTCTAGTTAGGGCCGACTTGACCCGAACGAAAGGACGCAGCTGTCAATCATTGTTTTACGACCAGTTCGGGTTATTAGGGTTAAAGAGTAGATCTAATAGTTCTTAGAAAGCGCAGTTACTTGCTTTATATGATATATATTGTTTAAAGTTTAAACTGAACTATCTTTAGTTATTTATGAGAAAGTAAGGCTGAGTGCAGCTCCGTATCTCAACACTTACCTGGTCCAAAGTGGAAACTTGAGTATTTCGGAGCGCTAACGATATCACAATGCAATTGTTTGGCGGACTGTGTGTAATCAGCGGACGCGACCGTGAATAAATGTTGTCCAAAAGCCATTGGCAACAGGTATTTATAGGAGTCCTCGGCTGGAGGATGTGCCCGGCTTATCATACCACCGCCCCCCTATCCAGATCCCGAGCAGCGGCGAACGGAAGTTGGCGAAACGATTCGAAACGAACACCGGGCGAAACCTCTAAAATGTTTTCATATGCAGGCTAATTATGTGGCTGCTGTCGTGTTTGAACTTTTGCAGCAGCTGGAACGGAAGAGCCACCGGGAGTGGGAACCCATCCGAGTGGGTGGGCGGTATGGAAATGGTAACGGACTATGGAGAATGGAGAATGGAGAACGGAGATTGGCGGGCGCTAACAAATAGTGACAGTTGGCTAACGAGATATCTGGAAAACGGGGGACTATCAGGAGCAGAATTACGCATAACTGAATAAATGACAAATTTTCGATAAGCAGGATTATAATGCCTGCTGCTGCTGCCCCACCTGAAAACGGTTTCGGTTCGCTTTGGGGCTCTCTGATTTATGTGCTCAGAGACTAGCTGCACTCCTCCTTCCTCCTTCCGCCTTCGTTGGCGTCAGAGTTGCGGCTCTGTGTCATTAATTATAGTATTTTGATTATTGTTTAATAACTGTTGGCTTAGACGGCGACGCTGATTGCGATACGCGACCCGGCCGATGAGGTATTAAGTGCGCTGCTCGACTTCCCATTGCTATTTAATTTGGGGTCAGGCGGTTAAGTAATTTCAATAGCAAACTAATCACCGCTGCAGTTCTCTAATCTGCCTGCCAGTGCGTATACGTAATATGCTTTCCCTGGTCGAGATATGCACCATAACAACGTGACATCAGAGAGCGTGTTCTCTGGTTCTTCTGGATGGTTATTAAGTTAATATTTGTTATAAACGTTCTGACTAATTAACGCTCTAGCCATTACTTATTTACTTGTTTTTTTCTTTCTTTCGCTTTTTGTGCTTGTCTCCGTTCTCTGGCCTACTGTTGTTGTGATTATCGCTCCAATTAAACTCGTTAGATATTCATTTACGACGAGCGGTAGCGTTTAATATTTAAATCTAATTGCCATCCAACAAAGTTGGTTCCTCATTGTTCGACTGAGAGTTTAGCTCCAGTTCCAGTTCCATTAACGACCGCCGATATAGAGCACCAGCCTTTTGCTAATAATTGGAGCTATGATAGGCTATTACATGCTTTGGCTACTGGCCATAACACTCCCCATATGCTTACCTTGCGATCGACATTCATTACAGCATCCGCGAACCGGACCATGTCTGGCCGAAGTCCCCTGAACTTTCCTGCACTTTTCATTATTAATAGAATTATACATTATCATTTTTACAGGTGGAAAAAATCCGTAAGCATATAAGAAATTTAAACACATTTGAAAGGTTGTCTGTCTCACAACACATTGTACTTCACTATTTTGTAACCCATGACATACACTCAATTAAATATTACCTAAATACAATTCCTTTAGAATATTTGCCCTTAAGATGTAACAAACGTTTATCTTTCGAACCCACTTATAAAACAAACTTTGTAAATCATTTTAATGTGGTTCCTAAATGCGTTGTTCCCTAAAAAATACGTTTAAATACACCTCACTCCTACTCGTTTTTCTGACCTCGCCTACGGCAATAAACCTCATATTTGATCAAAATCTAAAAGGTCGACCATCACACAACAAATTAATTTTTATTTTGTTCTGTAAATACAATTTGGGCTACGATTTCAGTTTTCCATGACTCAGCCTACTTTTGAGATGTTCTTTCAATGCTCAATGATAGTTGAGTGATTTGGGAATATTTTGTAAGGTCTGAAATAACTTAAAATTTGTAAAAGTTTTTATGACTGACAAACAAAACAATTAACGTTGTCAACAAATATTGTTCATCAAAATTTAACCTAATGTCGTACGCTCTGTCATTTCCACAAAATACAATTATATTGTTAAAATATTCTTACTTATACTAAGCAAGATTTGTATTATAATAATTGCGCTTAGAGCTTAACCCTTGCTAAAACTAAAGAATATTAATGTTGGCTTTCACAGTTTTCTGCTGCTCAAGTTGATAGTTAGCCGGGGAACCCCCTGGGCGGGTTCAAGGACATACTATACGTGCATGCAGTCGTATGTTCCGCATTGAATGCTAGTAGAGCTGGTCAAGTGGGGCTACCTTTCGGGTTTTCCCAGCATCTCCTATATGCACTTCATTGTTCTGTTGGCTGCGACTTTGCAGGGCTTTTGTCACCTTCCATGTGCTAAATCGCCAACGTCATTGTGCAAGTGGATGCCGAATACCTCAGACAATACTTGAGGTTGATGCGGCGTTGCAATTACGACAAAGTGCCTTGTTTCTTACAGTTATAATTTTTAAGTTGCGGCCTGCGTTTTTCGGATCTCAGGTCTGGGTTTTCCCCCTTTTCCCAGGCCCATATCGTGTCAATTTTGTGTTCGTCACTAAATATATATAGTTTGCATGCCAACCTCCAATTTCGGGAGAACAGTTTCAAGAGCCCTGACGCGCTGTTTGCGTAGATGTCAATAATTCCGATTCGATGCCCCTTCCATCTCGTTTACAAAACTACTTGGGGTAATTGAGCGTTTAATGTATGCGAAATAGTGTTCTTGGAAGGGGGATTAGCAAATATATCACTTTCTCACTGACCAGTTCTGTTGGAGACCCGATTTTTGGGGGCTTTCCTCACCTTGTGGATGGTCACCAATTGGAAGATTCCCGTTTAGACGGTCGCCAAACAATGGGCTTATTGGCGGCCCAATGATAATTGTACCTAAAAATTTCGCAGCTTAATAACAAAGTTTGCATCTATTTGTGTGTGTTTTTGTTAGTTCTCTAAATTGTCTGAGTTCTCTAAATATTGATCTATATCCAAAGGGTTAGTCAGATCCGTGGTATTCCACGTGAACTCGCCTATTGATCACAGAAGGGTGCCCAAGTGTGTAGAGGGTTAGTTGTTTATCGTCAGAGATTATTCTTCGAAACAAAAATAGATATGGTTTTCACCGTTTTTAATTTGTTTTGAGCCGGTGTGGGTATTTCTTAGTGAGATAAATAAATGGATTGCAGTAATTAAACGATTGTAAAATCTAGTTTATAAAATGTAAGTCAGCAAGTTAATTAGTTTCCTATTCATAGAAAACAGTTAATCGCTGCTTTTCAAGTACTTTTTGTTGTAAATGTAATGCAAGTATTTTCGGTTATCTTTAAGTCAAAATATCTTGCATTTTTCAATTTAATTAATTTATACACCTGTTGGTAATAAAATTTTTATATGCCTTAGAGAATTATTTTTAAACATGGTTTCAAGAAGATTTCTTCACACCTATTTTGTGCGGTTGGTGTATGTATTTATGAGGTTGAATAAGAAACTGGTTTCCTTTTTATTATTTATTTATGGGCTATTCGGTTTTCAATTTATGATTGTGGGATGCCTAGACGGTTATACTTTAAATATATAATAGGTCAATATATATGTTAAAAGCACTGATTATGCAATCCTTTGGCCAAGGATTGCTTACCAGACAATCCAGGACTCATTACGTCCTAGAAAAGAGCTTTTATCGGGGGCTCCACCTAGAACTCTTGAAACTTTCGGAGAAAGCATAAAAAGCGTACATTGAAAAATGGGACTTTGGGATGCCCCGCGTATGCCATAATTGTGGACCGCGTTGCCATAAACACAAACAACAATTAGCCCGGTAACAACAACCGCCCAATGGAAAATTGCGACTAACATGCCATTTGGTAGTTAGGAGGGAGCTTATTGTCTGTCTATTCGGGATCATATCACCCATAGTCCGTACAACCTCAAACAATGGCCGGTCATAAAAGTACACTAAGTGACATTTCTCAGACAAGTGTCTGTCAGGAAGTATAAGTGAAGATGATATTTACTGTCCGAGTCTTGGAGACAACTTTGGAGCGAAATAGGTCACACACTATAGAATTTATACTATCTACCCCTACTAACTACCCTTAGTCACCGTGATCGTATCAATCGCCTGTGCACTTCATAGATCTGTCATAAATATCGAGCTAAATAACCGACGGATAATTATCAGAACAGCCAGTTAATAGCTAATCGTTATTGGCTGCTAAGAATCAGAACTGGAAGTAATTGCGTCAAGAAATGGCTTTTAATTGCGGCAAAAACTTCATGCATATTTATGGCAGGCCGCAAAAAGGGCACGGGCACGTGTGCGTGTCTGCTGTGCCCAAGATAGAGACCAGACCGCTGGATTAAATAGAGTCATTTGAGCCATTAAATTTATGAGAAGGCAATTGCGGGCTAAGCGATCTCCGTAGACAATGGATAACCCGAGCCCCCTGTGTTGAGAGTTCTAACCCAGGGGTTTTCGAGGGTTGGGTGTTAGCAGTCCCCAAGAGGGGTTCATAGCCCCCGACCCAGCCCCAGACCCAGTCCAGAAAGTGACTTAATGCTGCTCGGTGTTTTGTGTTTTGGCCAACGAGCTAGTGCGAACGTGCGCGGTTTTAGCCGAGCGCCAAGCCCGAGCAGAGGCTTGAATGTGGACCGGTTGTAGAAAGGTTGAGTTGAGATGCTAGTACTAGCTATCTGCTAGCTGCTAACTGCTAACTGCTAGCCGATCCGATCTCCGCCAGACACTCGGCACTTCATCGTCGAGAGATCGGGGATCGGCCCCAAGAGTCCATATAAAGGTCCCAGCTGCAGTCGAGATCGCCGCATTAAGTTGTCAAAATTTGTGAGAATAGGAAGTGCGTGGCAGTTCAGTTCGATTCGAGACAAAGCAGCGAGATTCTAGCCCAGCGATCAGAATCAAAATCAGAATCAGAGGCAGGCAACAGTATCAGCTAAGGCCCAGATCGGATCACGTCGGAGCGGGACTCTCGGGTGGACAATCGTCAGGAATCAAGCACTCGACCTATTAAAACCTATTAAACCACAAGCAAAACAAATTAATCGACGGCGGTTACCATGCAAATTCACCCGATCCTAATCGGAAATTCAATCACAATAACGCTACCGACCTGTTAATAGTTTAATTTGCGGTCATAAATAATAACACAAGAATTAATTGATTTTCGTCATAAATCAATAAATAACTAACCCACTAACCAGCCGTTCAATCCAGTGCACCCGTTGAAAAGGAAGGGGAAAATACTGAAAAAAAAAATAAAATAAAATCAGATCGCGCCCGAGCTAAAGTTTTTTAGGTGCTGAAATGAAACTATTTACCAACAAAAACCAGCGCAATGCAAGTGAGTATAAAGTAAGCCCAGTCCAAAAATGCCAAAGTGGCCAGTGCTTAATTAAGCCAACCGGAGACGGAGACCATTGTCCGCATTGGTCAAAGCCAAAGGCCCATAAAAAGTTTATTCGGAACCGCCGTTTTCAGCCAAGGGAGCTTTTCAGCCCCCACGCGATCGTAAAAATGTCAACAAAGATCTCTTGCACAAACTGCTAAAATCGCCAAAAACCGAACTAAAATGCTAGACCCGCTGAAATGTAGTGAAAATGGTGCAATGGAGTTTTAAACGCTCGTGCATGCTGATATAAAACGGTTTCGAAATTAGAATGCTAATTATCGAATTACTAACAGCTGGTGGCACGCGTGAATATTGAGTTTTTTAATTTATTGCACAAAATACCTGGACCAAAAATAGCAGACCTGTTCGCGGAACTGGGTTCTGAAGTCCAAAAATGTTTTAGGCAGCACGACAGCTATTATAACGATCCAAGTTGGAAACCAAATTTAATTAGTGCTTTCTAGTGTGGTCTCCCTTTTTTATTTTTTTTGTCAACATCTCGGCTCTTGGCCAAAGCAGTTAACATATGTTCAAAGCCGTATAAAAAAAGGGGCAAGACATCGGATCTGATCGGTCGATTTGCATAACAACGAATGAGCCGCCAAGGGCGTAGGGTTCTATACATTGTAGGTCACTTGTGTAGGGTCACTTAAGATTACTACTTATAAGTAGCTTGTGTTTGTACATTGGATTGTACAAACGACATATGTATGTAGATCTCCAGATCTCCAGTTTTGGCCAAGTCATTCGGAAGCGCACGTGTGTGCATATATGTGTATTAACGGATCTGGACCTGGTAGTGCAATTAAGTTTGCATAAATTAAGATTTGAAATGAAATCGGTTGTGACTGAAAATGTCACGTATTACCTTACCATGAAGTTCGATGATTTCAATCAGCATAAATGCGCTGGGAAAACTGAAGGTGAACGCGATGATTGCCCAGCCCGGGTCAGATTGGCCCCATGATATATGTAGAGATATAGCTTGACAAGATGCTGACAGATCCCCCAAATCGGTATCGGAGTCGGAGGCGTGACTTGCAGAGATTACCTATACCATAACGATACCGATACTGATACCGAGAACGATATGATCCAACTAATTTGCCGCAGTGCGAGTGCGCCATAAATCAATACGATCTACAGCTCAATGCCCGCTAAACAATGCAAATAACAGCTATTGTCCGGGCATTAGCAATAACAATATCATCGCCAGCGTAAAGTATCCGTTTCAAAGGCGAACACAAATCGGATCAGCATCATCGTTATGAGCATCATTTAGCCTGCGAATCGGGGAAGTTGTAAACTTGGCGAGCGACATATTTACTTTTCCTTATTGGCGGGCATCTAATTGCCGCGAGACTTTGAGACTGAGACTATTTAAGGGTTTTGGGTTTTTTTGGTTCGGCTTTTTGGTGATGATTAAAAGCAAATAGCAACGGATCTGGGATTAATCACTAGCCAAACACAGGCAAACACAAACATCGTCATAACAGCGACGAGTATTAGGCGATCGGCACATGCTGCTTAAAACACGAAAAGTTCGGAGCGAGAGAGCATTAGTATTAGTATCACTATCTTGTGGATAACCGAGTGCGAATCTCATCGCCGAGCTGTAGCTATAGAGCTGTAGAGCTATGGAACTGTAGTTATGGCTATTTGCCTAATTTATTGTCGTTTGACGGAAGTCGCACACACACCTGTCAGCCGACGAAGGTGTTCCGTCAGAAACAAAACAAATTCATTCTTGACTTCAGTGGGTCACCACTTTGACTGGTCAAAAAAATATTTATATTTAATTTTTTTTTAGCACCAGCAAACCGTGCACTTGGAGTCGAGCTGGGTTAATTTTCAGGTTTTTAATGCTTGCCGGCGAATTGCACCGAACTTGAACTTCAGACCGTTGCAGAGGCAGTCGTCGGTCGTCAGCCGTCAAGCTCATACTTAGTAACTGATATATCCGATCCGATCCCGCCTGATATTGAGCTACTGCTTGGCTGTTTCGCTGTTAGCTGTTTGCTGTTTTGCCGTCGCAAACAAGTTCACAGCTCACTGAATCAGCTGCTGCGATCGAGACAAGCGTCTTTCATTCATGATGCCGTGTCTTGTCTCAGTATCTTGTGTGTGTGTTTTTTTTTTCGGCCCGCCAATCTTTCTATCGACGTCAAGCGGACTTTACTTCGCCGGTGCAATTGTTGCGCAATTCGATTCAAGCTCCACTTTTTGCCAGCCCGCGGAGATTTTCGTGTGGTTTTGCCACTCTGCGTGTGGATTTTGGCATTGGTCATTCCATTGCAGCAGAATAATTTCGGAGCGCTTTGTGTGCGGCCTAATTTATGGGTGGGCCCAAAGTTCGGGAATTTCGGCTGTCACACTCAAGGCAAGGATAAGCATAAGCATCTAAGATTACACGGAAAAAAATTATATATATATTGGAATAATTAAATAGAATACAGAATTTTTATAAATTTATATAAGAATAAAAAACAAAAAGATAGAGAACATTGTAAGAACTTAGAGCTATCGTACGTATAGTTGCATAAATAATGTCATTGGGAAATATTAATTAATTAAGGTTAATAGAGGCCATTATTTTGTAGTCCAGAAAAGGTAATGCTTTCTAATTTAACAAGAACGACCAATTTACAAATTTATTTTTTATAACCAAATGAAGAAGAAGAAAAATTTAAAATTTAATAATTTAAAAATTGAATTTACTAAAATATGAATATTTCTTAAAGATTAAAATCCATTCTAAGTAAAACGTTAGGTATTCCCACTTCAGACCAATATATTTAAAGAAAATTTTTCCCCGTGCACACTCGTAATTCCTATCAATGGAATATATGTTTGGATTTCTGGTTTCATCGGCGCCATGCATAATTTGTCATGTATCATCGCTATTTGTTTTGATTGTGAAGTCTTGAACCTATTTATGACACCAAAGTTGACACCGAAGCGAAATGGTTAATGAGTTTATGCTGTTTGCTTTTCGATCTCGGCCGCAGATCGCAGATGCTGTGGGATCGTGCCATTTTGGAGCGAGCTAGGGGCGTGCTAGCCACCTAGGTATCTAGTCAGTTCATTGATCTTGGCAGGTGTATCTGTATCTATCGGTCGCCGCTTTCGGTTTCTATTTCCACAGAAACGCCTGTTATTTGGGCAAACAATTGGGGATTTTTCTGCTTTTGTTTTTATTGCGAGAATTCGCTAAACGATTTATGTACCGATAAGTGAGCCCAGATTGTGCGTTTGATTTATGGGTCGCCCCCAACTGAACGTGATCTTCGTAGTGCGGCCATGATCGCTGAAAATCGGTCAAAGGAGAATTTTGGGTGCGACCACGCTCTGGATTCGTCGACTTCTCACCAATTTCCGGACAGATTTCGAGTGCGGAAGTGAATTTCACCTGGGCAAAGACAATAATCTTCGCGGAAGGTGAGAACAAACGAGTTTCGGTCGTAAAGTGAGTGATTTCACTTCAAGTAAATATGAGTAGAAGTGCAGCCTAGATTGATATGCTTCGATTGCCTTGCCCATCTTCCGTACTTTTAATTAATATTCCAAGCAAGGTCAGTGAAACTGGATTTTTACGACTTTTCTAGGAGCGGCAAACTTATCCAATTGGTGTAAACAAAACACACAATCAGTCGCAATTCACTTTTCAACCTAGCATATTCCCCTGCTTTAACAAGAAACAAATCAAACAAGGCAGTGACAGTGGGAAAATAAACTATTCCTAAATTTAAGGTGTAACCATAAAAAAAAACAAATACTTTTTGTTTATCTTTATGGTTAAAAGTCGGCGATTTTGCTAAAACCAGTTGGCAGTGCCGTCTATAAACGAGTAATATGGCTTTTAAATTTAGACAATATATTAAAATTGCCGGAAAAAATGTCTGAGATCGCAAGGGCAGTAAACTAGAATTATGGGATTTTTTAGTTTTTTTTTTGTATTTTTTTGAGTGCAGGTATCACCTTCCCCCGCTTTTGCGATTATAAAATCGAAGAACGTTCATTGAACCGCCACCGTTTTTGGGCATCGTCATCGTCTGCCGGCTGTGTCGTCTGCCGGTTGTCATCGTTTTGTTTATTAAATTTTGGCCTGGAGCTGCTGTTCCCTTCCTGCTCCTGCCATTGAGGTAGGTCGCAGATCTCGGTCCGATTGCATCTCGGATCGGATCCGCCACCAAGGTCAATGGCATGATGGGGGGCGCACGCTATCGACAAACTGGAACTGGAGCCAAACCAGTTCAACTTCAGCTGACGGCGCTCGCATGACCATAACTCACCCGGTGATCTATTTTATTGCAGAGCTGCTGCGCAGCGCTGCCCTCGGGATGACCCTGCTGTTCTTCGGGTCACTGGTCCTCATCGCGGACCCACTCCAAAGCATCCTGGACGCGGTAAGACTAAACAACTAAAATACTGCAGCGATTTCCGATAATAAATATGATTTATAGTCATATCAATTAGCAACTTTAATCACTTAATTACAGTGTCAAGATAGAAAACAAACTTGTATTTTGTCGAGCTATCTAAATATTCGCATTAAGAATAAATGTATTCCAAGTGAACCGATACTTAGTAGATACAACTGTTACAGACCCATTATTTTAAATAGCTTAGAAGCTTTTCAGTTTCTTAACAAATTGTCTTGTAAATATTTCCTTTATAATCAAAAATGTAAACTACTTAAAAATGCTAAGTTAATACTTTGCTCAGTATTCTATCAATAGCAAATGGTGTTCATGGACAATCCAAACCCATTTATTGTTCAAGCACACGCTATACAATTTAAACAAAAGATATTTCTGTAGGTCAACCTTTGTTATTCAATCAAAATAAAGTTAGTTCTGCAAGATCAGTGATTCTGTACGAACAGGTAGAGATATACAACTAAGTTTTTGTAATATTTTTCTTGCAGCAATTGAGCTTGAAACCAGGCGCCCTGCTCCACCGACTGTGGCTGTCGCCACCGCTGGATGTGTATATTAATGTGTACATGTTCAACTACACCAATGTCGATGAGTTCACGGCGGGCAGGGCATCCAAGTTGCAGCTCCAGGAAGTGGGACCTTACGTTTACAAGGAGGTATTGAGTAACCACAACGTCACCTACAACGAGCCCAACAATACCATCACTTTTGTACCAAAACGGGAGTATGTCTTTGCACCGGAACGATCTGTGGGCGATCCCAAGGTCGACCGCATCCGGGCACCTAACATTCCGCTGATGGGAGTGACCACACTGGCCTCCAGTCTATCGATGTTCGCCGCTTTGGGACTCAGTGCCATTACCAGGCAGCTGGACTCGCAGCCCATGCTGGAGATGAGTGTCCACGACTACATGTGGGGCTACGAGGATCACCTGGTGGAACTGGCATCTCGGTTCGTCCCCAACTGGATTGACTTCAAGAGCTTCGGCATAATGGAGAAGGTACGGCATCTCTTATAAAAAAGGTTTAAATAGGAAACCTTTTCTAAGGGCCTTTTGTAAATTAATAGCTCTTCCGGGAGGGAAATGAGAGCAATGTGTTCAACATGAACCTACCGGAGCCAAAGGACAAGTATGGAGTGAGGGTCACTGATGCTCCTCGAGGTTACACCGTGGACAGCGTTAATGGAGAACGTGGATTCAAAGGTTGGGACTACAACCAGGAGACAAAGTTAGTGTTGTAGAAACATTATTTCCTAGTACAAGATTAACAATTTCATTACTCCTTCAGTGGAACCATGTGCAATCGCATCTGGGGCAGCCACGATGCCACACTCTTCCCGCTGGACATGGATGAGAACGACGAGTTCTTCCTGTACAGGCGAACCTTCTGCCGGCGACTCCCCGTGAAGTTCAATCGCACCACCAGGTACAATGGCCTTGATGCCTACGAGTTCGTGATGGAGCCGGACTCCTTCGATAGCGACGTGGACAACACCAACTCCTCGTGCTACTGCAAAAACAACCGTTGCCTTAAGAAGGGAGTGGGAAGCGTGTCACCCTGTTACTACAGTGAGTACTAATGACCTTATAATAATAGAAACATCTTAATTAACTAGACTCCTATCACTTTTCCAGACATTCCTCTAGCGATTACGTATCCGCATTTCATGCATGCCGATCCCAGTCTACTGGAGCCATTCGAAGGCCTTCAGCCCGATGAAGCGCGTTTCACGTCTACCTTCGTCGTGCAACCGGTACGTTAGATAGAAAGTAATTCAAATTGGCCAATCTTATGATACCTATTCAATTCCAGCAACTGGGAGCTCCGATGCAGGGCACTCACCTGCGGTTGCAAGCCAACCAGGTGGTGGGCAAGGTGAACTTCAACCGGATGATGTCGCCCTTCGAGAACATGGTCCTGCCCCTGCTTTGGGTGGACCTGAACATCGATGTCCTGTGCCTGAGCCTGCGCCTGCTCATCCATGGCATCAAGTGGGGCTTCCCGCTGCTGCAGTGGAGCGCTGCCTTGGGAATGCTGCTGGCCGGCGTTTACCAGCTGTGCAGCGCCCTGATGCTCTGCATTTGGCCACCAACCAAACAGTTCCAGAAGGTCGATCAGATTGAGCGGGGCACGGCCATTCAGGTGATCAATGCTGGACTTAGTTTGGCCACTGGGCTGAGGAAATCCTCGCTTCAGCTGGATCCAGAGGAGCAGCTCAATTTGCTCTTCGGCGGCGGCACCATCATTCCTAAGTTGGCCAAGGCGTAACCCAGGATCGGAATGCTTACCTCAACTCAAGAAGGGGCAACACTGTGATATTTAGGCTTAAGATTCGGTGTAAATTATTGTGCTCATCGGAAACAACTTAGGGAACGTCCTTGCCTACGTACTAGTTAACAATAACTATAAGCTAGGGCTAAAGTTAGAGTGGTAACAGTAAGCAATGTACAGCTGAGCTTGCACTCGATAAATACAGGTCGATAGCTATCTAATCCTTGTGTTGATCCTTGATTCAGTGGGCGGCGATCGTGTCCTCGATCCACTTCATGTAGTACGAGGTGCGGGTGTAGACATCCGGAAAGCCCTCCAGGGCACAACCGGAGCCAAAGGAAGTGACCCCCACCAGGATCCAGGGTCCGTCGCGGCTCAAGCGGCACTGCAGTGGTCCACCAGAGTCGCCTACGCAGGTGCCGCCCTCGCCGTTCAGCTTGCCGGCGCACAGGTGACCGCCATGGATGTTTACAAAGCTGCCGTAGGCGTCCTTGCACCTGAAAAGAGTTAAGATCAGTTACTTTCGTCAGTTTAGGCTGGGCCATGTGATACAAATTATCTCTGCCGGCGCTCTGCCAACACATCATTCCGGTTTCATAGAGTATTGCCTAAAGTTGACTCACCTGCCATTCTGATGAAGTGGCACCTGGGTTTTCAGCAGCTGATTTGAGAGATCACCACTGATATTGGCCTTTCCCCAGCCCGTGGCCACGCAGTCCACAAAGGCCATTTCTTTTGGCTCACTGAGCTCACTGGCCTTGAGGTATTTCTGCTCTGCAGAATCCTCAAAACCCCCTCTCCGTGGACCCAGCTTCATGAGCTTGTCGTTGCGTCTTCGCGAGCGTTTCAAAGAGCGCGGGGAGCGTTGAGCCAGAGCCTGACGCATCCTGCTCAGGATCTTCATGTTCATCAGCTCCTTCATGCTGGGAGCCGTGACATTCCGGTAGCGCCGACGGCTCTGAATGCTGCGCAGGAAATTGTCGATCTTCTCGGGCACATCCTCCAGATCCAGCTGTTGGATGAGCACATCCTCGTCGGCCGATTGAGATGGGGACACTGTTTCCGCAGAGGCAGGATCCTGGGATTCGGCTAGGAGGAAGGGCAGGCAGATGCGTCGGATATTGGAGGCCCTTTCGAGATCCGCCGGCTTGGAGAGCTTCATCAGCACCACGTCGTGCCGGAAGTTGTGGTAACGGTGGTGCATCACGATCTTCTCGACGGGAATGCGCTGCTCGTTGCCCGATTCCACGTCGCGATCGTGTTCGCCCAGCACCACCGTCCACAGCGGTGGAATGGGCAGGTTAAAGAGATCGCTAAGGTAAGGTATTTCACATATTAAAATCCGGGTTTCAGAGTTGCGGTTTATAAACTCACTTGTGAACGCAGTGGGCGGCGGAGAGTATCCAATACTGGTGGATCAGCACCGCCCCGCACCAGTGGCCCAGGAATCCGAGCGACGGATGCAGTAGCTCCAGGGAGGCCTGCCAGGGAAACTGACCCTCGTTCGTGGCAGCTCCGGCAATTATCCGCGGTCCTCGACGTGACGGGCGACAGCCGCAGTCTGCAAAATATATTCGGTTGCGTATAATGTAAGCCATTTAATTTAAATGCTTTTTCACAGCATGTTATTTTTAATGATTATTCACAGAATGTTAGTTTTAACGATTATTCACAGTATGTAAACTTAATTTTTAAATTATAATAATTTTAGCTACATATAATTCCGCGGAAACAACTAATTTACATTTTTGTTTGAAGTTCAAGCTTTAAAAACGTGATTAATAATATTCGTTTCATATTTTCGCCACCTTTTATGGTAGTAATTTAATTTAAGTGTTGAGATACCAATTGCCATCGATCAATCTTGTTTATTATTTTTGCTTTGTTTACGAGTTAATTTATCTATAAACGCGGGAATAAAACTAAAGCGATCAATTAAAGTGGTTCGTATGTATTTTTCAATGACGTTAATTAGCAAGATAAGGCTTCTTGGTGAAAACTAATTTAAAAATGGTGTTTTATGTAAATTAATTTTTTTTTTTTTTTTTTGCATGTAAAAAATTATAGGATTAGATTGTCATAAAAGTATTTTAGATATTTCCTACTTAAATAGATCGGTTTTTAATATTATTTTTTGCTAGCATTATAGCAGATGCTTTTATTATATCTCGTATTATTCCATGGTTTTGAACCTACCCGTCTCGAACTGCCTGGAAGAGGGCAACAGCAGCAGGAGACACAGCCAGCTCAAGGTCGCGGTGTTTGCCACTGGGATCTGCCAGTGGCACTGCCAGTGTGACCGCGACTGTGGCCGTGACTCTGACTGTGACTGCGATTGTGATTGTGATTGTGACGGCTTCATCATCTTGGTGGCCGCTCCTCGGGCAGCTGGCGCAGCTCAGCTGCTCATCGCGCGCATGACTGACCCACAGAGGCCGTTTACGGATCGTATCTCTATATAGTATCTGTATCTGTGGCTCTAGCTTTGTCCTGCTGCCGATGACCAGATGCTTTTCACTTTCACGCTGCCAGTCAAATGGGCGGTAGAGGGTTTTTTTTTTGCTTTCCGGTGGGACTGTTTCGGGGATCGGAACGGCAACTGGGAACTGGGAACGAAGGCGGATCGCGTCTCGCGGCCCCAGCGCTTTTTTCCGGCCTTAAGTATTATAATTTACGAGGTCTTCCAGCTCCGCTTTGCTTTTCTTTCCACGAGCGCGCATTAATTAGTCCGCTGGTTGGGCGGCGACGACATGGCGAATTGTACGCAGAAGCTGGAGGTTTGGTGGGTTTTTATTTTTGTGGCCAGAAGCCCGGTTCTCCAGTTTCCACTCTCGATTATATAACAACTTTAGATGCTGGAGGGGGTTCACGTTAATAACGGTCACTTTGACTGCTTTTCGTTTTCGATTTCGTTGGGCGCGCGTGTGCGCATGCGCGACGTTTAGCGTAGTTTGGTGTTTTGACGGCTTTTGATTCGGGCTTTTCAGGCTTTTGGCTTTTTGGTTTTGGCGCCAGATGTGCGAGTGCGAATCGCTGGGGACGAGCGCCAAAATGCAACTGTGCTCTGCTCGGGTTTGCCAGCAAACATTTACCGTTTCGATGGCAGCGGCGTTGACGTTGACGTCGCCGTCGACTGCGATGTGGCATGCCCCCGCTCGAGTAACAACAACAAAAGCGAAGCCAACGAAAGTGAAAAGGCAGCGGGACGTTGGGGGGCAATCAAAACCCGCATAGATGATGGCCAGCTGAGTTGGTGATGGTGGAAAAAAGGGTAAGTTGGCCCGGCTCAACCCACGGAAATCATTTACCATGGAAAGTGGCAATACAAGAGCATAAATTAGGCAGCAAATAGTGATTATTTCGCTTCATTCGGGCAATGAATTCGGCTTTATGTTTGGTTGGGCTTTGAATACCCCTGAAGATTTCATCATCTCAAATTCATTTGCATATTCATCGGTGTATAAAATGATGAACGCTGAGATATTACTTTGTTTTGATATTTATTTCCTGATTAAAATTAAACTTTTCACGCCTTCAATGCCTTATCATTGATCTTAAAACGTTATACTTTTAGGTTACTGATTAATGTTTAAACCTGAGTTGATCGTTGAATAAATTCTTGAGCCTACGTGATAGACGTCAAATATAAAGAAAATTTAAAACAGAACCTGTTACTATCATACTAAAAATAGACTATACGCTCAAAGCGCTAGCGATTACCATAATTTATTTATCATGTTATATTTACAAATGCTATAGAATGAGATAAAAGAGCGTTTTGTTTTGTTAAATTTGAGTTTAACACTTAAGAGCTGGAAAACTTCCCTAAGTTATTTTGCAATTTTTGATTACTATCCTCTGAATGCATGCCAAATGAGCCCCATATCAAAAACAAGTGCTGATTGCATGCGAGCAGGGCATTGTAACTGCCAAGTAAATGTAAAACTGTGGTAATTGCAAAATTAAGTCATACAAGTGGGTCATTACCATAATTATTTATTTACTTCTATTTTCGTTTTGGCATGCTTATAAGGCGATTCCGCTGTGAGAGAGCTATTGATGTCTGTGAATTCGATTTCGATTCGACATTAGAATAAGCTCGGTGGCCGTAAACGATATATGATATATTATACTAGATAGTTAGATAAGAGAGGCGCTGCCATTTGATCTCACATTCGTGACGCCGCTCGAACGATTCCACCAATTATCTAATCTAATTTAAATACGAACGGCTGCATAGGTCGCAAAACATTGGATCGCCTCGTATGTTACATATAGGACTCGATTCGATCTGTTCTGCTACCCATTAATTGCCGTACGAATGCCACTTTGTGTCATTGCGGCATTTGGAGTGCATTTTTTCCCTACTCCATGCCGGTTATGTATGTGTGCCATTTAAGTGAGTAATTAGTGGGCAGCTATTCAACGCCTGTTTCAATGTAAGATGTCAAGTGATTAGTTTAATTGCGATTAGTTTAAAATATGCGCATAATTCCGGTCAGCCCCCCAGTTGAGAGAGTGAATGATGTGGCGTGTGGCTGCCCGATCCGGTGTTCAAGTGAGTGTCTGTCTGTATGTGAGTGCGAGTTACTTTCGTTTTCATTACGCGATGCAGCAGCAATACAAGCAGCAACATCAGCAGCAGCAACTCGAATTCCGTGTTGATGCACAAACTCATAAGTCATGTTGCTTGTTGCTGCACTACAGCAACATATACAAAGCCAATGGGGAAGTTGTTAATGCAACACCAACAGCAACAGCAACATCCAACAGCCAACGGCAACTGCATCGTCTGGGGAAGTTTTGTTTGTGCAGCCGATTGATCATTTAAGCCAAAAGACGCTGCTTGTCAATTTGTTGTGGTGGGCGTTGGCATTTGTTTGGCATTTTCCGTTGTTGTTCAATTAAGAGGCGCCTTTTGACGATGACGGACGAATACTTGTACCCACCGGATAATCAAAATCAGAAACTCGAAATCCCCAAATCGCCTGCCCAATCGAGGAAAAGCTTTGGTTGTTTGGTTGCTCGGTTGGTGGGAACTTTCCCGCCGTGTTGCGAAAATAATAATAATAACAATAATGGCTGTGTGCTTTGGCATTTAATTGAAATCGTAAAGACAGCCAGTGGATATAAATAAGTTTTTACGCATGCCTCTGAGCCCCCGATGCGATGACAATCGACGGAAGCATTGCGGGTCAAGACGGCAACGTACCAATTGGTC